GTTCTCCACAAAGGGATGCGCTCATAATATGCTTCAAAACAAACACATTGCTCATATATAGTGCTCTCGCAGCTTTGCAAGATGAAGAGAAAGAATATTCACGCGTAGCCCCCAATGCTACTGAAGAATCCGCATTCGAGCGGTTACACTTTGTCAACTGCTGCAAACTCAGGGTGGAGTTTTGAGGGGAACATGGCGCACCACGGTTCCGTAGCTCAGCAGGTTAGAGCGTGTGGCTGTTAACCACAAGGTCGCAGGTTCGAACCCTGCCGGTACCGCACCTATTCACTTTACATCGAGGAGATATGTACATTTCGGAGCCGTATGCTCCATGCGCCAGGTTTTGGCCTTTGTGACCAACGCGGAGTTCACGAGCATTTGAAGAAGGATAAGAGTTCTCCACAAAGGGATGCGCTCATAATATGCTTCAAAACAAACACATTGCTCATATATAGGAGCCTCGTCACTGCAACCTTCTGGCGAGCAGCCAAACGTTCTAGTCGGGTTGTAGGCGGCAGTGGACTCACTCCAGTCAGAGCTTAAATTGCCAGTCTAGTGTTTATGCCTTAAAATGGTACGCCTAGGACCACCAGTACGAGTCTAAAAGCGTTAGTTACACTGCGATATGCATACCGTGGGTGATGCATTGGAGAGAGCACACGTGCCCCCCTGACCAGAAGGTATATGTGCCAGATAGCTGTGACAGCCTTCACCTCTCAGCGCTCACAACAGGTCTTCATCATTTACGTCATGAGGGGTGGAAATGCGTGTTCTCTTCCGATGTGTATTGCGGGTTGTAGGGGACCCTAGAAACTTAGGATAAGATACCCCTTCAAATATCTGATCCCCGTACCCACCATCCTGGCATCCTACGAATAACAGCGCCAACGCCTGAAGCTGCAGGCGAGAATTAGGCCTGAAATGCATTACCGCGCCCCTTGTTCTAACACAATGACAGTGTGCGAGACGCCCCGCAGATACACGCACAAACAACTTGACTGTATGAGCGAACACTGTAAGCCTTTGTTAAAAAGCTCTGAAAGCGTGCCAGTCACCTAGTTAGGCATAGGGGGTCAAGCACGGGGCTCGAACAGACTTACCAACAACGGAGATACTAGGGTCCACGGCTGCAGCGAGCAAGGCCGCATTCACTTGGTTCTCGTGTTTCCATAAGCGGTATTCTGCTGGGATGCGTTTGTAAAAGTTTGCCGAGCAAGCCGCCGTCAGCGCATGTGTACTTCTTGTCTTGATGGCGGATGTGTTCGATTATATCCGGCCTAGATATTCCCAGGTATCAGAGGAGTTCAGATCTCCGACACTGCCCTGTTAGAGGCCCTTCTTGTGCAATTATGGGAGCTGCGCAGCTGCGCAGCTTGATTAATTAAACCGGGGTGAGGTTTTTGGGCCAACTTTTTGAGGCAACGAGGCAAACAACGGCGCAACAAGCAGCACACAGATGGAACACCCAGATTGACCCGGAGAACGAGGGCAGCAAAAGGCAACTCAACTGACGGAACGACTCTTCCTCTAGAGGGGGGAAGATGCTGCTGAATGCTTCTGCAGCTGGCATACAAAAGCTTACGTGGCTGCAGCAGGCACGTGCACTCATGTAAGCAGCTTGCACACAAACGCAAGGTTTTAGCAATGGTATATGATGTTGGCACGATCAGCAAAGAATACCTGGTTGTGCTTCCGTGCTTCTCTCTCTTACTTCATGGGATGCAGCGCGGCGCGTCGCAACTGTAGGGAGGCAGCCTCCCATCTCGCAACTCCTGGGTGAGTGGGCCTCTGTTGTCAGGACGCCTGCGGGGTGCTTAAGGATGTTAGCTACCTTTACTGAACTATTATTCTGTATTTTGTCTCCATTTAGCCATAGTACTTGGGTAACATGAAGGCTGCTTTGCGTACGGTGTACTTTTCCGCCACCCTTTCCTTCTGTGCAGGCGTAGTTTGGCATTTCTCATATCTCCGTATGAGATCTTAAGCGCTCAGATTCAAGTGATATGATGAAGTAAGCATGATCGGTAATTAAGGGATTCCCCTCAAGAGCCCCAGTTGTATAGAGTTCTGCGCCGCTACCCAATTTCCCATAAGTCAATAGTTAAAAGTCCAAATCATGTTCGAGTCTCTATTATAAACAAGGGAAGTTCCCCGAATAATAGAAATGACTTGGCAAGAATAACCAGAACTGACTCCCGGTCTTCACCGGAGGTCAGTGCCGACCTATAAAAAAACGGGGAAATAATAAAGCAGCGACAACACATTCAGGTGCCAGACCTACAAAGCTGCTAACCACATAAAAATGCCATACTCATTGACATGTTAATTTCTATTTCTTTTTCATTTATTAGATCTTTAGAAGTCCTACCTAGCACCCAAATGTAGCAAGGCACTACACGGCAGGCATGAATAACTGCCTCATTATCCCTAGTAGCTATGGCTCCATCTATGGTATCCAATTCTTAGAACATTTAGTAGTATTAATTCATTTTCCTGACTAATAATGTCCTAATCCCTAAAATATTTAATATTTATTCTCTTTACGATCATAAAGCCCCTAGAGATCACACATAAGCCCCATTGTAGTGCCTGTGCACTACAATCAGCCCCAATCGCTGCTACATGTGCCTTGTTTCCCTTGCACAAGAGCAAATTTTCCTGACAGTGAATAATTGAACATTTACAGTGTTTTAATTCATTTGTCCACTGTGATAGCGGCGTTCACCCCCCGGATCCTTGCACTTTGTGGTGCCAGGCACTACATCCCCGGACGCCCGTTGCTCTTGTTGTCTTTCTGTCCCCAGTCGGGCTCCGAAGGGGCCCTCACCTCTGCCTCCCCTCCTGCCACCAACACGTGTGCTATTTCTTTTGTCGGGGCCCCTTGTTGTATCCGCAGGGGGGCCCCTCCCCGCAGAGATGGACGGGAGCTTCCAAGCACCCCATGGCGCCTCGGTGGGCCTCTCTGGAGGGCTCCCTCCCCTGCCAGGGGCTCCCCCGCCAGTTGGAGGTCTCCCAGCAGGAGCCTTTCCAGGGGCCGCCAATGCTGGGGGATCCCTCCCTCCTCTGCTTCCCGGGTTGCCCTACGCACCTCAGGCTCTCTTAGCTGGCCCAGGGGGGCCAGGGCTACCACCGTCGGTGTTGACTCCACCGCCTGCAATAGGCCCTGGATCTGCGGGAGGGGAAGACGGTGGAGCTCCATCTGGTGGGCCTCCATCGTGGACTTTAGAGGGTCGGGGCCGTGCCGAGGGCGCCCCGCGGCAAAGCTCAACCGGCGGCCGCAACTTGTACATCCACAACGTTTCGAAGGAGGCACGAGAAGCAGACGTGAGGGCGTTTTTTTCGCAGTGCGGCGAGGTCGAAAGTGTTGCCCTGAGGGTCAACCAGCGAGTGGGGCCTAACGCTGTCTACGCGTTCGTTCTCTACAAAAACGCAGAGGACGCCAGACGATGTTTCGAAACTCTAAACGGAAAAACGTTTAGTGAGGAGACAATAGCACGTGCATGCTTTTCAGACAGGCTAGAGACACACTGAGAGTTCGCGGTGGCTGAGCCTTTTGTTGTGGGCTGTTGCGTCGTTTGGTGTGGCACCTACCCGTCTGCATCGTATGGGGTTCTGCAGCCGTTGTGTGCTTCACCATTGTGTACTTACCCCGCTAGACAACTTGCAGTCCGTCTGTATGTTTCTACTGCTGGCTTTGTTTCTGCTGCGGGAGTGCAGTGGGCCGCTGTGTCCGCGTAGAGTACCAACGAGGACGCACCGGGGGCCGCAACGGCGGGACAGATGATGCGGGGTCAGAGGCGGGCAGTGAAGTGCATGGCGCTGCTGCTGCGGGAAGCAGCAGCAACAGCAGCAGAAGGCCAAACAGGGGCAAGCAACACACAGAAAGGGGTGGCAACCGCAGTGACAGGGACTGGGACCGACGGGGAAGACAACCCATTAGGCCGATGGTGAGGAGCGCAGACCCACAAACCCCAAAATGCACGAACCGTCGAATTCTGACATCTTAAGAGCATCTATAGAGTGATGCGAACGCTTGAAATGAAGTGGTGATGGCTGGGCGGACCTTGGAACGAGGGTTGATAGAGGGGACGCAATGTGGGGTTTAGGGTTCGGAATCTGTTTGCAGGACGACGAGCGGCGGGATGGAGATGCGCGGATGAGGGACTGGGGCCACGACGAGGAGGCGGTAAGCAACTCAAAGGCTAGGTCTCCAGATGGGGTTTTGGGTACATTGTGGAGTCCTCAACCTGTGTTAGGTTTTTTAGGCAGTCTCTACGCTCACCTCAGCACCTTGGTGAAAGCTTGGGAGCTCTTAGAACCTGACACTCACTAGCTTGACGCACCTGCATCAGCGTACTTGGTTTTGGGTCTGGGTCTGACCCGCAAGCTGAGGCTGTAACCTTGTTAAAGGAGGAGAGCTTTTTGTCCTATCTAGGGGCGCATTATGTTGTGCATTTGTGCTCCATTTCAACAAATAGCCCATATAACGCATGCCTTGGCAAAGTTAACAGAGGAGGGAATGCCGAGGGGCACACACATAAGGCTCGTCGAATGCTGCTGTTGCCATGTCAATAAGCACTGCCGCAAGTATTGCCGCTGCGCTTGCTTCTGCAGATGTATCGCAGAGATGGTCACAACGGTCTTATGCTTCCATTACAGCCACAGCCGCCACCGCAACAGCAACAGCCGCCCACGGATCAACCGCAACAACAGCTGGAAGTGCCGGCAGCTCGCGAACCGCTTTTGCTATTTCCTTTACTGCAGCAGCACCGTGCCCGCCACGGCTTCCCGTTTCTTAAGGATTTCTCCTCGTCTCCACCTACTATTCCTGCAGCGACGTCGGGGCTCCCAGCGGCCCCGCCAGGGACTGGGGCCCCGGCGGGCCCCTGCGGCGCTGGTGCTCAGTGGAGGTGGACTTTGGGCCGCAATGACCGCAAGAAAGTTGCCGTCACGGCCCTTTGCTTGCAAGGGGAGGTTCCATTGGAGATGCAGCAGGTAAGCATCTGTTATTATGATCCTGTCTCTGCTGCTGCCAGCCAATATTCTGCTACCGGTTTGTTGTGATCCTGGCCGCTGATTCACGTTCTTCGAGGCCCGTATTTCAACGGAACGCTGGTTTTAGAATGTTGTTTTTGTTTGTGCGCAGCTGCAGAGTATGTTGAACGTCAGCCACCGCAGCAAGTGCGAGGAGTTGGCACTTAAACCTATGGATGCGGCTGTGTTGCTGGAGCCGGCCTCACCCGAGAACGAAGCTTCCTTCAATGAGTATCTGTCATATTTTAGGTCTAAAGAGCGGGTTCGTCGCTGCTGATGTTGCTGCTGATGGTTCTGCGTCTCATGTCGTTGCTGCAGTGTCGTATTGGCGATGAGCCATTTGTTCTGTGCATGACTTGCAAATTCCGTCGCCTTTGTTGATTTTGGATCGATTTTGGATCGAATGCGTTGTTCTTGATTAGCGTTCTTGAAAGCCTGCTGCTGCGGCTTCGAGAACATTGGCTGCATCCGTTGTTGGGAGGGAAGCCGCTGCTGCTATAAGGACCCGGCCTGGTAGTTTCGTTGCCACTTTTCGCTGCAGGCTGGCGTTGCATGTTTGCCCGGTGGCGTGTTTTTGTATTTCGTTCCGCCTGGTTTCCAAGCCTTCGACAAGTACAGATATCTCTTCCCGCAGCACCTGAGGAACAGCAACTCCGTGTACGTTTGCTGCACCCTACAGCAGCAGCTGCTGCCGGTCATGCTGTGGCACCCCGCTGCATATGCCGGTCTTCTATTCATCACTTCTCGAGTCCAGCTGCTTTTGATCGGTTGTTTCCAAGCGTTGCTACTTGTCCTGTAAATGCGCTTTCAGTGGCAGGAGCCTTCCGCTGTAAGTTGCAGCAAGTACACCCGTCTCCTGGTTGCATGTTCCCTTATGTTATTCAGGATGGTTGGGCTTCTTGGCCCCTCTCCCCACTCGGGATCTGCTACAGCGACGTCGCATCCTGCACCCGAACAGCAGCAGCAGCCACAGCAGCAGTGGCAGCAGCAGTTACCGGCATCAGGACCGCAACAAGCGTGGCCGCAGCAGCAACCTTGGCAACAGCAACAGCAACAGCAACAGCAACAGCAGAAGCAGCAGTCGTCGTGGCAGCAACCTCAGCTCCAGCAAGGCTGGTCGCAGCAGCAGCAGCCACCTTCACAAGTTAAACAGCAGTTTGGAGTGAATCAGTCGTGGCAGCCGCAGCAGCCACAGCAGCCGCAGCAGCAGCCGCAGCAGCAGCAGTGGTCACCGGATTCTCTGCAGCAACAGCAAGTACCACCGATGCAGCAGCAACAGCAAGTACCTCCAGTGCAACAGCAACAACAGCCATGGCAACAGCAACAGCACCAGCCACAGTCGTGGCATCAACAGCAGCAGCAGCAGCAGCAAAGCGGCAATTCGCAGAGCGGCTTGCCGGAACAGCAGCAGCAGCAACAGGAGGGACCAGCAGGAGGCATTAGCTGGATGCAGCAGCTTAGCAACATGGCCGCCTTCTTAGGCGCCAAAAAGTGAAGCAGGTGTCTCAATCTGGTATGGGTGGTGCCCCTTCTGCTGTTGCAGCGAAGGTAGTTGCACGTGTAGAAGCAGTTGTGCTGCCTGCGCATTGTGCTTTTGCCTCTGCTGGAGCACCGTTTTGCTGGCGGATGGGCCCTGTGAACGGAAGGGCACCTCATTTAAGCGGCATCTAGTGGGCAGATAGTTGGCAAGGAGTCACACCTTGGGTTGTTTTCTCCTTGATCTATGCGGACCCACAGGCTGCAGCAGTAGCAGTAGCAGCCGCTGTTGCTGCCGAAGATATCGCCGTCATTTTGCTGCCGCACGCTCCACAGGATGTGCCTTCAGCTGTCTGCAATCTGTTGGTGTCGTTCTGTGGAATCATAGGAAGGGAAGGGGGTCGTGCTTGGGGGGCGCCAATTCTGTGCGGAGGGTGCTAGCTTCTTTCGAGCTGCAACGCGCATAATGCCTGAGGAGTGGAAGGATGAGGCAGAAATGCAAGACTGAAAAGACAGTGCGAGCGGTGTATGGGTTGCCTGTACTTACTGTGTACAGAAACTGAAGAAACTGAGAGGAGACGACCAAAACTGTGTACTGCAGCAGTCCCATTCTCCCTCCGATGATAGGCGTCCCCAGTAGCGTCAGCAAGGTGGTGCAGATGATGTCACACCCATGGTCCATCAGCCGGCCTAGAGGAGAGGATATGCCCAGCAGCGTGCATGCTTCCCGTCGATGGCATCTAAAGTCTGGAATAAGAAGGGGATTGCCGAGATTAAAAAGACCCAGCAGGGAGGGGACTCGGAAAGATATGGGCAGAAACCGAGAAGCAAGCAGCACCCAATGATGGCTGCAGTGCAGCTTGACACCATCAAGCCGTTCGGGTGTACACAACCAGGAGCGAAATTCTCCACTGCTTCCCAGTATGGATCTTTGGTGGTGTCAAAGGCAGTACGATGGCCTGAGACGGCGTATTTGTGTAGGCTTGTGTAGACTTGACGCCAGCTGGCGTCAAGTAGTGCCCGAAAACTCCTTGCATAGTGCTGCAAGCGTTTGCTTTTAAGGAGGGATCTACCTGAGTCAGAATACCCACGCAGGAGAGTTTGAGGGCCTCCGGTGCATTCAAATGCCAGGCACACGTTATGGTTTGCCTCCGGCTGTAAGGGGGTTTATTGTCCTGTTGCTCCGATAAGACCTCCCCTTTCACACGTCCAAACCACCGCTCTTGTTTGTTCGAATCACAATGCGAGACGTGAGGCACTCAGGCGCTTTCCCCAGCAAGGATACGCGTCCGGAGCACTAGCAGACCCGTCCACGAGCTCACCTGGCGCAGGAGGAATGAGTGCTGGCACTTTGGAAGTTATCCTTTTCCTTTCAGGGCATACAGATGGCTCTGCAGGAGTCAGCAGCAAAGACAACGCCAGAACGGGCTAATTGCTCCAAGCGACTTCAGTTTAGCAACGGCGGGAGCGCGTGGCCACGTGCAGGATACAATGCTCCCGGTGATAAGGTCAGGGCTCCTAGGCAAAGTATTTCCACCTGCGGCACCAAGGCGCCTGCGGCGCCCAGTTGAACGATCGATTGCCATGTGGGAGACGAGTAAGGTGTTGCGGTGACTCTTCATCAAGCACAGCGGATGGTGCTGTGTAAAAATTATCACATGGGGCCGGATTTCAAGCTCCCTAGCCGCGGCTACCAAGACCTTGCGCATTAGCACACTCCAGAATCAGGAGGGGCGGCGTGGCACCACACACCATGGCGAGCCATCCGGTTTTCAGCATTCTCCGCACGAGACTTGTCTCTTACACTCACAGGCTATTGCAAACGTGCGTGCCAGTCACCCCGCGTCATTTGGACTGGCGAGGAGCTTTGCGCCCTGGGGATGCCTAGTTGCTGCACCTTGCCCAGTTGGTTCACCAGCTGGGAACTTTCCATATGGCAGCTGCATTGCAGAGTACAAGGCATTTCGAGGACAGCCGTCTAGGGGTTCGCCGATAGGCGATTATTGAGATACGCTAGTAAATTCCAACTCGGTCGCACAACGGTATTAGGTGCACCACGTACACCAGCGTCGTGTAGCGGCTGCTAGCCCCATTCTTCTTATGTGGCATCGTGGTGTTCTTGAGCTGCTTTGCAGCAATTGCCGCTACGTGGTTCGTCGGTGACACGTTCCAATCCTTTGGGTGGACTAAAACGCGAACCCCCGCCACAAACAAGCGCTAACATCGCCTCCGCCGCGAAGCAGAGACAAACTCTAGCATCTGACGCCATACCTTTTTCGGGAAGCAGGCGCCGAGACATCCCAGATGGCGTTAGGACCGTATGCTCCTCGCCCGAGCGACCCACTTTTACGGAGCCAGGGTGCGCCCGAACGGGTAGTGGCAATGGGCCTTGAGCAGTTGTTCTCTTTTGCTGATGGGATTCACAGTCGTCTGGCACTGAAGGGCAATGGATGAGCTGTGGTGGGTGGGCACGATTGTTCTACATCTGTGTGTGTGTTAGTCGCTGATTGAGGCTTTTGATACTGCCTGCGTGCTATGACCCGTTGCACTGGGCGCGAGCATTCTGTGGTTACAAATGGAGGCGACACTTAAAATGGGATGCAGTATTCTGGCCCGATTCCTGGAAAGTAATAGGGAAAAAAATAGGGCGTAGACTTTATCGTGTGTATGAGCACACAGTGCAAGTGCAATCATGCACTGTCCTGTACTCTCCCTATTCCGGGAAGGAACATTGATTTTGCAGATGAGCCGTGCGACACGAAAAAATTTTCTGCAGAAGCAATGGAGGGCGTTGAAGGGCTCGGCGAGATTTTTACTAACCTCTGATGCAACTGCGCTCTATGATATTCCTTCTCACCGCGCGCCTCCAATTTGAAATTTCTTGTACGTGGTAGAGGGGAGGATTTGAATCATGTGGTGCCTGTTTCGAAGTATGTACCTTCATTTATCTTCACTTTTCCCCTTCCACTGCGTGTCTATCGTCAACGGCTCTTGAGTACTCTGACGGGACCCAGCGACTATTCCCAAGGAACTGTGGTTCCCATGCCGCTGCAGTTTAGGAAGCTGCATTCAAGAGCGCACATGGCTTGCATCTGCTCTCTAGTTTGCTAATGGTGGTATGATTCTAGTCTTGTCCACGTTCTGCAGATGCATTGGGAACTGCCAAGCACTGTAACGAGTTCAAATGAGAAGTCAGCTGTACACCCCTCTAAACTGCCAAGTACATTGTCGATCAAGCGTACCGAAAACAGTTTCATAAAAGTAAACGGAAATCTTAAATTCATTGTATATGCACCGTTGCAAAACGTAAGGAGAGTCGTGGATCCGGGGGAAGAACCGCGTGCGGCGCAGTGAAGCAGACAGTCTTAAGAACATCCCAACTGCACTAGGCATCCCATCCAGTCTACAGGCATCGTATGAGCATGTTCCCAAGGGCCTCGCTCTGGTGTGGAGAGGAGGTGGCTTGTCATGAGCTGAAACGCTCCTTGTTGCAAGCTCTGTTGCAAGACGACCCAGGAACCAGTGTATCCCTGTGGTCCGTTGATGTGCGAACTAACGCTATACACAATTGTTGAACAGGTTAAATGACTCTCAGTAGGCAGCATGTCTACAACTGGAAGTACCTGTTCTATCTTCCGACAGACATATGCAGGCGACCGTGCTGCATTTCGATAATGTGACCCCGATGACACTGTAACGCAGGAACCTCAATCCATGCATTCTCTACGAAAGAACATATTTACAGAGGGTACCTGCTCTAGCAAAGGCAAGATGCAGTTTGATTGTAAGAAACCTTCCTCTGCATGCAAGAGGTGTGTGCCCACAATAGGGTACCTCCGTGTTACAAGTGACGCTGTGAGCAGGAATTGCACAGGTGAAGCCTGCTACAACTCAAAAGTCATCAGTTTTATGCGAACCGAACCAGTGTGCTAGACACAGCGGTCAGTCAACGCTCCTAGCTGCTCAAACGGTTCAGTGGGGCTTGCCGGCCCAGTGATCATTACAGGAGGCGGGCAACAAGCCTTCGTGACGTATGGATCCGCTACTAGAGAACTATCGAAGGACAAATTTCTTCGAGGTTTTGCGTTGCCATATGGTTTTAGTGCACTGTCGTTTAGAAGAATCATGGGCAGTGTCTGGTCAACCGGCGTATATGCCGTGCTACGAATGGTATGCCGCAAGTAACTGCCTTTCCTATGAAACAGGGCGAGACTCGCCTAGATCCTGAAGTTGTATATATCTTTGATCTATGGTGCTTCCACCTGCGCTCTGTTTGCCTTCCGAGTTCACTTCTTTTTCGGCAGTGAACTCCTGCGTGTTCTTGTCGTCAGCGAACGATGCTCCTGAATGCAAATGCGGTGATTACTAGGAGCGTCCATGACGAAGGCGGTGCATATGCAAGGCCTAAATGACTCGCCCATAAACCGAGCCCACTGCTTTGTCTGTAGGCTTGGGTAGTCGGGACAGCCCGACCCAAAATTCCTGGGTTCGGCCTATGCGTCTATCAAAGCTGAAAGGATAGGCGCCTTCTTTCCCCCTTATCATTCACCTGCTCGTGCAAATCTCACGCAGCGCCAGCTACTAGCCAGGGCCGTGCGTGGGCTATAACGCAAACTACCAGCTCTCCCCTGTACCGCTGACACACGTATGCATATTTTCTGCGCCGTCGACCAAACAACTCGAGAGTCACGCAAAAAGTGGTTAGATTCTGCTCAAGCTGTAACAGGGAGGAGTCCAGAGGAAGAAACCGACAGGCCACCTAAGCCCTTGCGCTTTGTTGTTGACGGAAGTGAAATACGACATCCCCTGCAATTCCTGGCCATTCCAATGTTAAGTACAAAGGTAAGGTTGTGAAATTTTTTATTACTAGCTTTATCATGTTCCTAAGAGCTTCAGGACATAACAACCGAGTGTGGGGTGCCTACGTCGGTAGCTGACCAAAAGCTGCGAGCCAGCCAGGAAGCCTATTCTGCTGAGGGCGCTGCAGCTTCCATGGAAACTTTGAAGCATAATACCCTCATTAGTAGCTCATACAATGAGGGCAATATTGCTTATAGAGTGCGTGCACTCTGACCTTCAGGCTTGGTTGAGGGGTCAGCCGTGCGCGGGCGCAGCGTTTTGGAAATTTTGAAACAGCACATACAGCAGCAGCTCGGCGGCGAGCAGCAGTTGCAGCATGAAGTGTTGAAAGAAACACGAACGTCTGTACTGCAACGCCTAGCTGAAGCAGCCGCTGCTGCTGGCGCAAACGCAGTTGTGAGTGTGCGACTGGTAACTTCCGGACTCCAAAGCATGCACGTTGAGTAGACGGCATACGGCACCGCAGTGAAAGTAACAAGGGCAAACCCTGCTTCTTCTACTTAGGTGTATGGGCATTTACTAACAGTCAGAAGGCCAGTGGCGTCTTGTGCTGCGTAGTGACCGCCAGGTGGAAGAATGCGAAGCTCGGATTCGCCCGACCTTGTACCATGCTGACTTCCTCACATAGTTTGCAGGCGCTTGTTCGAAGCGTTTGAAGGCATTGCATTGGCGGATCTCACTGATTTGCACTCAGGACGTGAATTGCTGCTGCAGGGAAGCATGCATGCATGCGAAGAAGCTCGGGCGATAACCTGATCTACTACCCGGAGCTAAACTAGCGTGAAGGCGAACCTGTACGCATACAGGGGAAAGCCTATTCACGCCATCAGTGCATCTGTGTTTTTCTTTAAATCCCAAGGGAATATGGGCACTGACAAGGGCGACACGCAATAACCATATGCAGCAAAAGCTACTACGGAGCCATGTGAATACAGCTCCCCCAGCTACCACATCTCGCCCAGTCGGCACATCTTAGCCACCCCAGTGAAATAGATGTCGTTTCAGCCCTTCTAGAAGTGCATCCGTAAGCGGATGACATGAATGAATCAACAGAACTCCACTGAAGAATGGTCTCTAGTAAACTTGCGAGCAAGACCAGTTAGAAGTTAGCATGTGCAACGCACCACCCCTGTCTCCATTTGTGTACAGGCGGTGACTGCTGACAGGCGACACAGATACGCCACTAGAGCAAGCATGGTACTTCACCTAGCAGGCACGCTGTCACCAACGTGGTGAACTCGCCCATCTGCAGTGCCTGAGCGGCTGATAGTAGACGGCAGTTTCACCAAACTAGTTGGAACAGGTAGCTCGTGGTGTGGCTGCCTACTTGGCCCTCTGCCATTTTCTATTAGCATCCATGCGAACAAACCCGCTGTTGAGTTGGTTTAGACCTTTTGAATCGTCCGTCTGTCCGACTGCCTGTTCATCCTGTCAGATGGGCCTTACGATGAGCCCCAATCCTTTTTACTGCTGTAGGGGGCTACAGCGCTCTGCTAGCTGCTGGCAATTGCGCGTTGCTGAAGAAGACTGTGGGCGTATGCAGCGGCATCTGCATCATCTGCTGTCGCCACCCAGGGGTGGTCCTGCGCAGTTCAAGCAAAGCGCCATAATTCGGAGCCGCCTGTAATGCGCATGTGAAGTAAAGCCTGAACTGGTGAGAACAGTACACGGCTCTTCAAAACCTCACCAGGACTTGGCACACAGATAAACGGTCTTGCCACTCCGGGTGGAGCACCTTCTGGAAGAAATCACGCAACTCTGGCGATATGGGTGGGTCATTAGGAATTTTCACTGCTCCTTCCCCGATAGCTTCGAAAAGGCTTTCTATTGAGCTCGCGCCAAATGGAACAGTTCCGAATATCATCACCTGCAAAGCGCTCCAAAGAAAGTAAGGTCCGCTACAGTGAATTGTTCAGTGGAACTACTGAAATTTTGTCGCCGATGTGCCGTCAAAAAGCTGTAAACACAGCGTCGTGAAGCCGCATGGGTAACTTGACACAATGGAAGCTTCCTGGCTGTAAAGGTATGAAGTGGCCATCCGGCTACCTTCATTCCGAGTCATCCAAAAGCCAGCTTAGCCTTCCAGGAGCCTTTATAAGGTCTGTTTGATTGTAAGTAGCTGTGCGTACATAAGCGCATATTCCCAGTGCCCAGACATCAGCAGCGCGACCATCGTGCCCTTCGTATGCCTTGGACTCGTCTATCGGGCGGAGGCACTCGGGAGCCATGAACATGTACGTACCCTGCGTTGGAGCCGCCAAAACGCAATGCAACATTCTTGGAGTTGGACAAGCACCCGGGAGCCATTCAACAAGTGGACTGTGGCTGTGAATTGAATGGCAGAGACAGGTGCTGGGTTGAAATCTACAACTATTCTAGACCTAAACGAAAGGAGCGCTATTGCACTTACGTGCCTCGCAAGATATAGTATCCCGTACCTTTGTATATCTGACTTTTCCATTCGCGCTCATCTTCTCGGCGCTTCCAAAATCGCCCACACAGACACGACCGTCAGCGCCCAGTAGAAGATTGTCCACCTTGAGATCCCTGTGGCAGATTCCAAGGTCTTCGTGCACTGCGCCACACCGCAAGACCCCAACCAAGCATCACTCTGGCAGCAACTAAGGAGCATCCAGTATAAGATCCGACACAGTCTGAGCAACACACTCTCGCGTCGCCGCACTCACGAAAAGCGTCGTGCTAGTTACACTTTAGGTCCAGACACCCGAGGGAAGTTCCCGATTATGTTCAACAGCTCAACGACACTGGCTGCAGCTTAGCAAGCTCACAATATTCTAAGCCTTCTGCAGCATCACGAATAAAGCACTTAGCTTGGGCTTCCGTGAAAGTCCACATTGTCTTCAGCTGTGGAACGAATTTCTCTCGGAGTGCGTCTTGCGTGGCGTCTGCTGGCAGCGCGGCAGACGCGTCGGATTCCAGCAAGCAGCTTTGCTCTAAATTATCATCTCGGATGCTTTTGAGAATCATCAATGCCCCCCCAGGCATGAAACTTGTGACTGAAACAGCACAAGTAATATCATGAATCAATGCCATGAAATTCAACTGTCAGAAAACCGATGACTAAAGGGAACAAAGCACTACCCCTAAGGCTGAACGCCACAACAACAGAATTTGCAATTCAAAGATAAGACCCGGGGTGTGTGTGTGTGTGTGTGTGTGGGGGGGGGG